CTCATAGCGATCCTTTGTACAACAGCCCTAAACTCTGCTCTGTCCTGTGCCAATTGCACTGTCTCTGACACACCCATCCCAATTATCCCAGTCACTGAATCAATCCACCTCATAGAGGGTCTTTCCCTCCTGCACTGTCCCTCCACCCTCCCAAGCATGATGTCCCTCTCCAAGGACCTGTCCCTCCTTACAACATGTCCAAAGTATGTCAGACGAAGCCCCAGAATCCTTGCCTCCAAGGAGTAGCCTGGTTTAACCCTCTCTAGGATAAATCTGTTTGTTTTCTTGGCAGTCCATGGTACATTCAATACTCTTCTCCAGCAGCACAGCTCAAAGGCATCAGTTCTCCTTCTGTCCTCCCTAATCATTGTCCAACCTTCTGATGCATAACAAGTGATTGCAAAGAGCATGGCCTGTATCAGGCGCACCTTAGTCTCCAGAGAGACACCGTTGCTCTTGAGTACTTTAGAGAGGTCCTTAATAGCAGACTTTCCCATCACAATACGTTTTTTTAATTTCCTGGCTGCTGGTGCCAAGAGTGTTGACTGTGGAGCCGAGCAAACTGAAGCTGTGAACAATCTCAATCTCTTCACCATCAATCCTGATGCTGCCAATTGGTCCAGTGGTGACATCAGGTATATCCACCAGATTAGCGTGGGTGGAACTTTGTTCCCTCAGAAGGTTCTTGTGCAGGTGTTAGGCTTCACCTCATGGGGTTGTTACTCATCTGGGCAGCCTGGCCTTGCAGGAGTGTACCGTGGGGGTTGGCAGGGCCAGCAACTTGCTCAAAGTCATTCTGACTCAATGAGGGAAAGCCACTTGATTCCAAAGCCATGCGCCCTCCCTCCGTGATTCACTGTGGGGGCGGCATGGTCTCTCCTGCTCCCTCCAGTCCTTGTCCCTAACTGGCCTTGGCTTGGCTGCTTCTGGAGTGTGGGCTGTGCCTGCCACAGAGTGGCTCCTAGTGGAACTGCAGCCTCGGCCCCGCTCTGGGCTGCACAGAGACCTTCCTGAGATTGGCTCTGGCTGATGCTGGGCTCAGGGGCTGGGCAAGATTGGAGGGGGACAAGGAGAGATGTGAAGGGTTGTAGGGCTGAGGGTTGGGGTGGGTGGGAATGGTCAAGGCTCTGTGATTCCATGAAATTGTGGCCAGGTCACCCTCTCAGGAGGGTGTCCTCAGGCTTCCCTCCTAGTCCTGCTTCTCCTACCAGCTTTCCCTGTGGAGGGAGTACTCAGGCAATCTTTATTACATCCTGGGATTGGTTCTGGCTGGATGCCCAGCTCAAGGTCGTCCCTGGGCCCCAAGCCTGGCCCAGCTAACTCTTAGCTGCTCTTAGGGATTCTTCCCTAGGGTCTGTCTCTTGGGGTTCCAGCTCATGACAGGGGAAGCCTGTATGAGGAGGAAGGAGGGGGTGACATGGCACTTCCTGGGCAGGACCCAGCCAACCTGGCAGTGGCTCAGGGCAGTGGGTCTGGGAATTCAGGCAGGTATAGGCTATCTGGAAACTTTCTCCTTTCTTCTCCCCGACCCCGCATCAACCCTTCCCCCATCCCTGCTGTTTCCCTCAGCCATCATGCAGCGCTCCTGGCCACATCTTTGGAGTGAGTATGGCTAAGGCAGGGTTACATGAAAGGAAGGAAACATTGCTCAAATGTTGACGAAAGGGAATCCACATGTGGGTATGTGTAGGGGGCTGGGCTGAAAGTGCAGCTTTTACCTGCTGGACCAGGAGGTGGGGGAAGAGAGGGGTTGGAGGGTCTGGTAGCAGTTAGGGTCCCAGGGTCCCGGATTGAGTGCACTTTAGAAGAAGTTGTTCTGACTTCTTCCTGGGAAGCTGGAATCTAATCAGGAGGGGGGCCAAGGGGACTCAAGTTGAGAATTTCTGGGGCCTTATGATGGTGGCAATTTCCAGGCCATCCTTGAAGGTTGAGATGATTTGGTCCCAGACTCTGAATTTTTTGGAGGTGAGTTTCTATAAGGAATGAGGTTTAGGGATTTGGATCGCTGGAGTTCTAGGGTTGAGCCTGGGGTCTCAATGGCTGAGGCCTCCCGGTCTCTGCCCTCTCCTTCGGCCCGAGGAGGGCCAGTCCATGTTCAGGCCGCTGCTGGCCATCACCATATTAGGGCATAAACTCTAGTCAGGCTGTCTGGTTGCCAAACAGTCTTCAGCCAGGCTGGGTCTGAAGCCTTCCAACACCACAGCTATGCTTCACCCAGGGTCATCGCAGAGGCCAGAGGTCATGGCACGAGTGAGGCAGAGCTGCGGGCCTGGTGTGGTGAGCACAAGGGGATGGGGTGGCAGAGCATTCCCAGCAGCCTCTCTTGTGTTCTAGCCTCTCGCCCGGTTCCATCTGTCTGAGCTGGCTCCAGGGAACATCCCTGCACAGGCAACTCCATCAGTGTTAGCATCCTGACCGCTTAGCTCTCTCAGCTCCTTCCCTGGCCGTTCTTCCCATCATCTGATTATGATCTTCTGAGTCAGATCCTTCTCCTCACTCTCGATGCTTCCCCTACTCTGATGCTGAAGCTGTTCCCACCATTGCCCAGGGCCTTCAAGCCACCAAGAGCTGGGTGCCAGTTCTCACGTTGACCTACCACTATGGCTTTACCACCATCACATCTGCTGCTGCCTGGGACCAGGGAGGGGACTGAGTGGAACAGAAAGATGGGGACCAGCCCAGGAAGGTCATGAGAGGTGAAAGGTGAGGTGGGAGACACTGTTAATCACCACTTAGGCTCCTCCATGTCCTCTGGTCAGTACCTGCTCTCCTCATGCAGGGCAATAGAGACAAGGCCACTATGGGTGCAGGTATGGGGAACTGTGTTGTTGTTGTTAGGTGCTGTTGAGTCAACTCTGACTCATAGCGACTTTGTGACTAACAGATCTTGCGCCTCCTGATCTCCACAATGCTCAGCTAAGCCCATTGTTACAGTCACTGTGTTAGCCCAGCTCCTGGAAGGTCTTCTTCTGACCCTCTCATTATCCCAGCATGCTGTCTTTCATGGGGAAGTGGTGGTTGGTAGGTGCTCTCGAGTCACCTGCATCTAACACATGGCGACCCTCTGAAGAACAGATCTGAACCTTGCCCTGTCCTGAGCCGTCCTCACAATCTCTGACATGCTCAAGCCCTTTGTCACAGTCACTGTGTCATTCCATCTTGTGGAGTGTCTTCCTTTCTTTCTCTGACCCCCCCATGTTTCCCAGCAGGATGTTATTTTCCAAGAACTGGCCTCTCCTGACAGCATGTCCCAAAGTATGTGAGACAAAATTTTCACCATCCTTGATTCCAAGGAGAACCTTGGTTTCAGTTCTTCCAAGATAGACTTGTTTATTCTTTTAGCAGTCCATGGGATACTTAATACTCTTTTCCGACACCACAACTCAAAGGCATTGGTTTTTCTTCTGTCATCTTTATGCGTTGGGCAGGTTGTTGTTATGTACCATTGAGTTGGAACCTACTCGTAGATGACTCTCCAGCAAGTCTTCGGAGGCATTTAATCACGTGGGAGGAGATTGCCTGTATTTTTCAGAGCATTTGCTGGATTTGAACTGCATGTCTTCAGGTTGACAGGGAAATTCAGGGAAGATTGGTGAAAACAGCTTGAGGAAAAGAGAACAAAGAGGAAGGATTATGCCTGGGCCCTTATGAGGTTCACAGAGAAGGGGCAGCATTTTCATGTGCTTTTGGGTTTAATAACAGGATTTCCTGTGGATAGTAGGTTCTGCGTTTGGCTCTTGGTGGGCCTGAGAATTTGACAGGTATCTACTTCAGAAGTCTGTAGGGTGAAAGTATTTGGGCTCTTACACTGGATAGAGAATAGAAAGAGATGGGGGAAATTGGATCTTGTTCGTCTAGGAGAGAATTTCTGAAGGGACAGGACTCATATGATGTAGGGCTTTGGTGACCAAAGCGAGACTGGCAGGGATAAAGTCAAGGGCAGAGAGACGGATGAAAGATCTAGAGGAAATGCTTTGATTCTTTAATGAAGGATCAGTTTGCTTTATTTCTAATAATGCTGCAGATTAATTCTTCTGGGAAACACAAGTCACATGCTTGGATGTCCTGGCAGTGCCAAATTGCTGTAACGTTTTTGAAACTCCTGCTCTCATTTCTGTTCTTACCTGGTTGTAAGCTGACACAAAATTTGGGGATTTACCAAATGAGATCAGAAAGATGGTCACAGCTAACCTGCCTATACTCTTTGGTACGAGCCAGGCATTACCATAAGCAGTTAGGATGCACTGGCTTTTATAATCTATACAATTCAAAAGGAGCCCTATCAGTATAATGACTGTTAAGTGAAAGGTTGGATGTTCCAGTCTTCTACCTGCTTGAGAGATGAAAGATGGGTAGTCTTTCCCCATTAAGATTGACAGCATTGGAAGCTTGACAAAGGGTTGTATGTGTTAGAATCCATCCAACTGCAAGTGTTCATTTTGGTTTTACAGATCATGAGAAAAGAACAATTATAATTTCCAAACTTTTTAAAAATATATCATTCCCATTCTATTGATGAGGAAAATGAGATAGAGGGAGGGTAAATAATGAAAATGTACAAATATTAAGCAGCAGAGTTAGGATTTGAACTTAGTCATTCTGGATCTAAAATTTAACCACAATACCTGGGGGCAAAGCAATGATGGATTACAGGGGAGAGTTGTGGGGAAAAGGAATGAATGATAAAAATGATGGAGGCATAAAAGGTTATAAACTAATGTCAGAGAATATGTCAGGGAAGGGAGCTAGAGAACTAAAATAGGCAGAATGAGGAAAAAGGCGACTGTGTGTCTAGCAAGCAAGAGAAGACAGGTAGGGTGGAAACTGCCAAGTTGGACTCCAGAATGACACCTCCGGGCAGAGGGAACAAAAGCAGGGTGGGGGACGGTGGGAGGTGGAAGTGGAAAGCCCTGGCTGGCTTGGGGGTCTGCCCTGCCTGGTTCTTCTCAGCCCCTTTGAGGCTGCCAAGGTGTCTCAGCGTCTGTGCCTGCTGCTTGCAGGGAGCTGCTTCTTGTGTCTTGTGGATGTGGTGCCTGTGAAGAATGAGGATGGGGCCGTCATCATGTTCATCCTCAACTTTGAGGTGGTTATGGAGAAGGACATGGTGGGCTCCCCACCTCGGGACACCAATCACCGTGGCCCCACTTCCAGCTGGCTGACCCCAGGTAAGCACAGCCCTGTTTCCGAGTTGGCTCAGAAATAGGTCACCCTCACCACAAAGCTGCCAGAGGAAGAACCTGCCAACGAGATAGCTTGGGCCTACACACCTGGTTTAGGATCCTGTTGTTGTGGGTCAGGCCCAGGGATCTTCCCAGTTCCTGCCCTTGGCCTTGAGGTAGAGTGACAGACTGGGATCACGCTTACAGATGCAGGATAATCCTTATTTCCTAGCCTCACCTGCTTGGCTCCCTATCCATAGTTCCCTGACACTTCCCTCTCTCCAGTCTGTTCTGGAACTGTCCACTAGGGGAGAAGTACACTTTCCCCAAGTGGCTCAGGCTACTTCTGAGTGCCCTCTCTGATCTTTAGGAAGCTCTGTCTTGGATGGACCTCAGTCTCTTTCTTTGTAGTTTTTTCCTCCTAGGACAGGTCCCTGGACTGGAGTGGTCCCATTCCCCTACCAGTTCATTTAGGAAAAGGTTTATGAAGGCTTTCAGGGGATTACTTCTCTTGGCTGGAGACATGATGACCTCCCTTCATCACCTTAGTGATCTACAGGTTCAAATCCCCTAGCTACTTGCCCCTTCCAGAAAAAAAAAAGCTTCCTGGAATTTAATTTATTTCTCAGATTCACAGAAAAGTACTTTATGTTTGGTTCTGGAATGTCAGTGTTAATATTTCTGGCTCTGTTTGTTCTGTGCTGTTGTTGTTGGATATCATTGAGCCAGAACCAACCCATAACCTACCCTCTAGCTGATGTTCAGAGGTTGTGAATTGCACTGAAGGGGATTGCCCATCTGTTCCAATGGAGTAACTAGTCGATTCGAGCCACGTACCTTTGGATTGCTAGCACAACTCCTTACCACTATGCCACCAGAGTTCCCTCCTTATTCTGTAGATACTTTGAAAGGCTGTAGATTCTAGGGGCAATGGAGTACCCTCAGTTCAGACACAGGCTCTGTTTACTGTATGGCTGTGACAACATCAAACAATGCACTTACTGCCCGGCCTTTTATCAAATGATAGGATGCCCAATGAGCACAGCGGTGTTAATCACGGATAATATTTTTTTTTTAAAAGCGTATGTAGAGCCATCCTCCGTGCCTAATCAAGCAGTGGAAGTCTATTATTATCACGAGTCTTAGATTAAGAGTGTATTCGAGAAATGTTTTGGAAATTGTTACTAAGGGGTGGGACAGAGAGATGTTGGCTGTCCGCTGCCTAGGCTGTCACAGTGGGCACGCCAGCCCCCCATCTTCCCAGCACCTATTTCCCACAGGCCGCGCCAAAACATTCCGCCTGAAGCTGCCAGCGCTTTTGGCACTCACCACCCGGGACTCGTCCTCCAGGCCTGGGGGTGCTGGGGGCGCTGGGGCCCCTGGTGCTGTGGTGGTAGACTTGGACCTGACGCCCGCGGCTCCCCGCGAATCGCTGCCCCTGGATGAGGTGACATCTTTGGACAACCATGTGGCGGGCCCCCTGCCTGCAGAGGAGCAGCGTGTGCTCGTGGGCCCAGGCTCCCCAGGGTGTGCCCCCACGCCCAGCCCACACTCACCGCTGACACACAGCCTCAATCCCGATGCCTCGGGCTCCAGCTGCAGCCTGGCCCGGACCCGCTCCAGAGAGAGCTTTGCCAGCGTGCGCCGGGCCTCCTCGGCCGATGACATCGAGGCCATGCGCGCAGGGGCGCTGCCCCCACCTCCACCACGCCACGCCAGCACCGGTGAGCAGGGGATACTGGCCCTGGGGCCCGGTCAGCACCCACAGCCAGGCCTGCGAGTGTCAGCACCTCTGCTCCCCACTCTCCACCACCTGGCTGAGCCCGGGAGGTGGAAATCCCATTAACCATTTATTTAATCCCCTAAGTGGCCTTTTAATCCATTAAATATCCTATTATATCCTTGGACTCATAGAACCTTTACTGGCCCCTGGAGCTGGCTTTCCAAGATAGCCTGGCACTAAGATGTCCCAGGGGAGGCCGGGGAGGCACCCTGGGCCCCCCACTGCTCCTGGGGCTTTGTTCAGGTCACTGCCCTGTTTTGGGAGCCTCCTCCCGTTTGCGTTCCTCAGTTTTGTCATGCTCTTTCCTTGGAGTGTGCGGGGACAGGCTTGCTTGTGCTGGACTGGCTGTTTCTTCTTGACCCCTGACTCCTGGGCTGATCTCCACATGGGCTTACCTGTACCATCTGCCCCTGATTTGCACTGAGCTGAGCATCCACTTCCTCTTCCAGGCCCTGGCCTGGCTGCCTTCTGGCCCCTCCCTGCCAGCCTGACCTCACTCTTCCTCTCCACCCCAGGGGCCATGCACCCCCTGCGCAGTGGCCTGCTTAACTCCACGTCAGACTCAGACCTTGTACGCTACCGCACCATTAGTAAGATCCCCCAAATCACCCTCAACTTTGTGGACCTCAAGGGCGACCCCTTCCTGGCTTCACCTACCAGTGACCGGGAGATCATAGCACCCAAGATAAAGGATCGAACTCACAACGTCACTGAGAAGGTTACCCAGGTAGGTGCCTGTCTCCTCAGCCATCTCTGGAGGCGCTACGAGGGAGAGGATGGGGTGGGCAGGCATCTGTCCAGGAAGGGAGAATGCATGCAGTTAAGAGGGGTTGGAGGGGCTGGCTCTTGAGGGTCTGTTGATCTGTTGACCTGGGCTGTTCTAGATTTGGGTAGATGAGAGGGCAGTCTGAGAAGACTTGGCTGGAGAAAGACAGTCTAGAGAGGGCAAGGAGAGGAGAAGGGGCAGATAAGATTGATGTCTGTGTTGTCTGGAGGGCATGGAATAAGGACAGGGCATGGAGGAAGGATTGGGCATTGAGGAAGCATAGGGTTTTGAGGGAGGATAGGACTTTGAGGCTGGGTACAGAAGTTCAGACTGAAGGGGTAAGGGTGGGCAGATAAGGCAGTGATAAGGATGTGCAGGGTCTAGCCAGGATGTGAGTACTGGGGACAGACCAATAGGAGACATCTGATTAGAAGGGGATGCTGACAGGGAGGTCGGAGGAGGCAGCCAGGAGGACCCTGATTGTTCTACACCAAGTGGAGAAGCAAGACAGAGGGTGGGGGCCAGTGCTACAAGCTATGACCAGGGTGGCCTGGGGGGGTTCACTCCTACCCTGGGGCCTTTTTCCTACATGAGCGGAGGGGGATATCTGGTGTGGGTGCAGAGATATAGAGAGGGTGAAGTCCCTGAGTCCTGCCTTCTGGGGTATTGTCAGTCACTGCCCTTGGGACAGGGCCTGTCTAACCATTTGGTCTTCCCGAGGACTGAACCCTCCCGCCAATACCCTCAGTCCTCATCAGTCTCAGTTTGGTCCCCTCTTCTGTCCACCACATGCAGCAAATGAGAAGCCTGCCCCTCCCATGCCCGTTCCATGCAGTTACCTGGCTGGCCTGTGTGAGGAGCGGCCCTCGCAGGCCTGGCCTCCCTGTGTGCTCCTGGCTTCGCGCCCACTTTCTTTGCTGCTCTGGGCCTCTGCCAGCCTCCAGCTCCTTAGTGTTGGCTCCTGAACTGTCCCCCTCACCCCAGGCCCTGGTGCCTGGCTTCCTGCCCCTGCCCCTGCTTTTCATCTGCCTTCGCTCTGCACCCAGGCTGCTGTCTGCCGGGGTGTGGATGTGGGTGTGGGTGCAGGTGGGTCTGCGGGTGAACGTGCGCATGTGCTTCTGGCTGTATGGTCACTGTCCTGTCTCTCCATCTCTGTTGTCTGACTGGCTCAGCTCTTACTCAGCCCGGCAAGGCTGGGTGTCGGGGAGACCATTAATCTGTGGTGACAGGCCGCCTGCTGGGTTGAGGGGGAGGGGCAGGGCTGCAGGAACTGCTGCAGCAGAGCCTGGGAGCGGGCTGTGGGGGAGGGGGCCAAGGGCTTGGCACAGGGCGCAGGGGCGGGCACAGCGGGGTGGGAGCCCGGGTGGCGGGTGGGGGTGGGGACCATAGAGGAGGAGGGGCCGGCCGCTGGAACGGAGGTTCTGACTGCGGCCGCGCTGCTGGGCTGGTGGTGCGGGGCAGAACGCAGCACCCTGGTAGCAGGGCCCACACTAGGGGCCACAAGCAGGGTGGGCCTGGTGGGCTGCTGTCTACACACTTGGGCAGGTTGACCCCAGCTCTAGGGGTCCAGCCCCGGCCACCCTGGCTTCATGCCAGAGGCTGCCCTGGGAGCCAGTCTGCTGGTCTCTGGGGCACAGTCTGGCCTGGGACTGCTGCTGGGACGCAGGTAGGGGGCTAGTCAGGCCCTTGAGCCTAAGGAGGGCAGGACGGGGGAGCCAAGTTCTTCCATGGCGGCCACAGCAGGGAAGGCGAGTGGGACAGGGGCTCTGCAGGCCAGGGCCCAGAAAGGCCGGGTGAGGCGGGCTGTGCGAATCTCCAGCCTCGTGGCCCAGGAGGTAGGTGACCCCCGGCCCTTTCCATCCTGGACGGGGCCTTGAGGCAGGGGCCTGTAAGTCGGGCAGGGGGCCCGTGTGTTGGCCCTTGGCAGAACTAGGCTGGGAAAAGCTTCTGAGAGGCAGTTCATGGGGTAGGAGGTCTACAGCTCTGCTTGACATCCAAGCTCCTGCTCAGTCTCCTCCAGACCCAGTGACTTGCGGAGCGGTGTTTTCTTCTAGGGCTTCCCCGTGCTTTGGCTTCTGTGGTTGGTAGCCTTCTGGCTCAAAATGCAGAGGGTGGGGAGAACAGGAATGGAACGGGCATGAAGGGGATCATGGGGAGCTGGCAGAGGGGCTAACAAGACAGGGATAGGTTGTGGGCAGCAGGTGTGGGTGGCACTAGGACTGCACGACTCCTCAGTACTTGGCACTGGGTGGACCCTGTGTATGGAAGGACTGGGGTCTAGGGTTTGCAGCTGGAGTCCAGGATGCTAGTGGCTGAGGACTGAGTGGAGGTGAGGGTGCATTGAACTGAGGGGCCTGGCTCACCATTTCTGGAAGCCTGGATAGCTAGGCTCTGGGCTCTAGCCTGATGGTTACCTACTGAGAGTCCCTTCTGTCCCCAGCTGCTCTCTGGGACCTCTGACTGATAGGGAACAGCTCTAGGAGTGGACATGGTGGGAAGGGCTGGGAGTGGAACTCTCCCACAAACTTCCACTCCCCAGACCCCATCCCCTTGCACCTGAGTGAAGCCTTAGTATAAATAGGATTCTTCCCACCTCCAGGTGGAGACCCAAGATTTAGCTTAAATGAGCTTCTGTATTCTGTAGAGAAATGGATCAAGAGAGACTAAGGGCCTGGCCCCAGATCATGTGGGCAGTGAGTGTCACAGAGCTGGGACAGGCACCTGTGTCAATGAGCTAAGTGAGTCTAGGCCTTGTGCCCTGTGTGCTTGTGTGTGTGTGTTGTGGATAAACTCCACTGATGTCATGTTTGTTCCAACACAGCACCTCAGGAGAGGGGACCTGCTCCTGGGGCCAGGATCACCTTTTGCTTCCTTGTCTGAAGGGGCACCAGCTAGTTTTTTATTTAACCATCATGTGATATGCCTCCTGTCTTAGGAGAGGCATCTCAGTGTAGAGATGGTGGAGGCAGGAGTCCGTAAGTCCTCACACAGGCCCATCCTGAGCTGTGTCCAGCTGCTTCTTCCACCTTGCCTGGTGCCCCTGGAGTGCCTGTGTCCACAGAGATGTCAGTCCCCTAACTAAGGCCTTCTTAGTGTCCAGTTCTTTCCTTCAGTGGTGTTCTCCACTAATAGTTCTATCTTGTGAAGCAAGATTTGAATGAGTTTGGGAGTCAAAGATGAGGCCCTGGCAGGTGGAACTTTGGAAGTAATGCTGGCCACTTTGGCTCTTGAGGCGGCCAGGCCAGGCCAAGGGTCAGACTGTGGCAGGACCCAGGCTGGGGGAGCTTGAGTTGAATCATAGCCTGTGAGAGAGCTAGTGAGGGGCAGGCAGAGGCTCTAGGGGCAGAGTAGGGGAGCCGGCCTTCGCTTAGCCTCACTAGGCTGCCTCAGGGCACAGGGCAGAGACTGGCTGGGAGGTCAGAGGGGGGTTTAGGGTCCTGATATATGAGGCTGATTGATACCTCTGGGCCAGTGGCATACAGGGGCCTTTAGACTTAGTCCTTTGGCTGCCCAGCAGTGGGACTTCCTCCCTCACATTATGCTGAGATGATGCAGGCTGGGAGCCTCAGACCTCTGCCTGGTGTCCCAGGCTGACACTAGGCTGTGTGCAGATGCAGCTTCAAGGGTGGAGCAGGTCCAGCTATAGGCACGGGGCCTGTCTTGCTTGTGGGGGCGCTCTACTTCTGAGAATGACTTATAAGTGCCCTGAAGTCTGGCTGAGTTAGCTGGGTTGCTGCATGGCATTCTGGGAACTGTATACCCCAAGTCAGAGGGTAACCACGTGCTACAGGCACTTAACTAAGGGTGGGCATTCTGTTTGAAACCTTTTTGGCTTCCCTGCTGCCTAACTGCTTCTCCAGAAGCTTCAGCAGAGCGGTCATACCGCTTGAGGGCCCATGGCTGGGTTTCCCCAGCCCTCTGCCCTGTGGGCCATCACCCCTCCCTGCCCCTTCCCCACACACAGGTGCTGTCACTGGGGGCTGACGTGCTGCCAGAATACAAGCTGCAGGCGCCGCGCATCCACCGCTGGACCATCCTGCATTACAGCCCCTTCAAGGCCGTGTGGGACTGGCTCATCCTACTGCTGGTCATCTACACTGCTGTCTTCACGCCCTACTCGGCCGCCTTCCTGCTGAAGGAGTCAGAGGAGGGCCCCCCGGACCGCGGCTGTGGCTATGCCTGCCAGCCGCTGGCTGTGGTGGACCTCATCGTGGACATCATGTTCATTGTCGATATCCTCATCAACTTCCGGACCACCTACGTGAACGCCAACGAGGAGGTGGTCAGCCACCCTGGCCGCATTGCAGTGCACTACTTCAAGGGCTGGTTCCTCATTGACATGGTGGCCGCCATCCCCTTTGATCTGCTCATCTTCGGCTCTGGCTCTGAGGAGGTGCGGCTGGCAGGGATGCAGAGAGGGCTGAGAGCCAGGTGGGGAGAGGAGAGTAGGTGGTGAGAGGCTATGGGAGGGAGTGGACACCGAAGAGGAAAGGCAGCACCCACCCCACCCCTGCTCCTTCCTCTCCTCCTCCACCAAAGGCCCACTGCTTCCAGTTCATACAAAGGACCTTGTAAGCTATTGAGTGTGGCCGTAACACCTTGTGCTCACCGTGGAGCTCACGGGCCCTCTATCCATGAGACCTCTGTCCTGGTCCAGCTCCAGGTACTAGGAGGAGGTCCTGGAGCCTCACTGCGGATGCCCCCTCTGAAGACGAGGACAGCAGAGCCCCCAGCCCTCAGTAGCCCACTCCCCGTGTCTGCCTTCACACTGATGGCCATTCCCCCTCCAGCTGATCGGGCTGCTGAAGACGGCGCGGCTGCTGCGGCTGGTGCGCGTGGCGCGGAAGCTGGACCGCTACTCGGAGTACGGCGCGGCCGTGCTCTTCCTGCTTATGTGCACCTTCGCGCTCATCGCGCACTGGCTGGCCTGCATCTGGTATGCCATCGGCAACATGGAGCAGCCGCACATGGACTCGCGCATCGGCTGGCTGCACAACCTGGGTGACCAGATCGGCAAGCCCTACAACAGCAGCGGCCTGGGCGGCCCCTCCATCAAGGACAAGTACGTCACCGCACTCTACTTCACCTTCAGCAGTCTCACCAGTGTGGGCTTCGGCAATGTGTCTCCCAACACCAACTCGGAGAAGATCTTCTCCATCTGCGTCATGCTCATTGGCTGTGAGTGGGCCTGTGGGGCAGGCGGGGACTAGCTGGCACTTCCCGAAGCAGGAAGGCCCCGAGGGTGCTCATGGGGCTGGTGTGGAGCAGCAGTTCAGGAGAGGAGAGAGTGCCCGGCTTGATGTGTTGGCATACATGTGCTTCTCTGTGTGTTCCCACCGGGACTGCACACGTTTGGGGCATGTGGCACTGACCTAGCCCAGGGGTCCTGTGGGCGCTGACAGCCTGCCCTCCCTCCTACTTCCAGCACTCATGTATGCCAGCATCTTTGGCAACGTGTCAGCCATCATCCAGCGACTCTACTCGGGTACTGCTCGCTACCACACCCAGATGCTTCGAGTGCGGGAGTTCATCCGCTTCCATCAGATTCCCAACCCACTGCGGCAGCGTCTGGAGGAGTACTTCCAGCATGCATGGTCCTACACCAACGGCATCGACATGAACGCGGTGGGTCACCAGCCGGGCCTGCCAGGGCTTGGCCTGCTGGGCCTGTCCTTAGTGCTGTGGACAGCCTGCGAGTGGGATTGCTCACGTAGTAGAAGGGCACTTGCTCCAAAACCAGTGTGAACTTCCTTTTTGCAAATAGGAAAATGGGGGCTGAGGGGGGCAAGTGCCTGTCTTGGAAGGGCCGGCTTCTTTGAGGTGGAGAGTCAGGGCTCTTGGGCTGTGTTCCAGGTGCTGGTGGGGGTGCAAGTGTGCTAAGCTCCCACTCCTGCTGCATTGCCACCCCCAGGTGCTGAAGGGCTTCCCCGAGTGCCTGCAAGCCGACATCTGCCTGCACTTGAACCGCTCCCTGCTGCAGCACTGCAAGCCGTTCCGTGGGGCCACCAAGGGCTGCCTCCGGGCATTGGCCATGAAGTTCAAGACCACCCATGCACCACCCGGGGACACACTGGTGCACGCAGGGGACCTGCTCACCGCCCTCTACTTCATCTCCAGGGGCTCTATCGAGATTCTGCGGGGTGATGTTGTTGTGGCCATCCTAGGTATGGGGGAAGGGCTGAACTGGAGTTGGAGTGGCCAGTGGCCTCAAATGCCCATGCTCTGGGACCCCAGGCAGACAGTAGAGAGGAACTCCACCTGTAGAGGCTGATGCCCTTGGCTTGAGTCTCCTTCCCTCCTTTCATCTGACTGACGTTGAGGCACCCTGCTTCCTAAAGCATGCTCCAGTCACATCCTCTGAGAGAGCAGTGGCAGGACGAAGGCACATTTTGCGTTGCACGTGGGGTCCACAAGGGGCCTGTGGGTTTGGCAGCCTCATGTAGCAGCCATGCCCACCTTCCAGGGCAAAGAGCCCATTTGCTCTCACTCCTCCTTTCTCTGCACTGTACCTGTAGACATGTGTGCCTGGCAGTGTGATCACCCTGCCCTGTGAGGGACTTTCTTGGTCCTTGCTCCTTAGCTAAGACAGGCCAACTCTTGCCCGCCGCTTGTGGAAGGAGCTTCTAGAATTTCATAGCCCCGTCTGCACAAAACCACATTTCCTCTACAAACACATCCCATGTGACACTGATGCTAGATTCTTTTGTCCTTGGTCTTCATGCAAGCCTTCTACATTCTGGCATTTTCTGCTTTAGGCTTGCTCAGCTGCGCTGGAAAACAGTTTCTGTGAGTAGGTGATTGGGACAGAAGGATGTTTATGAAGTGAGATTTAGGGTAGACATGGAAGGAGAACTTAGGAATTTTAGGTGGTCATCCAGAGCAGAGCGTTTGGGTGATGAGACAGATCCAGTGACTGGAGCTTAAGGATCTGAGACTCCCATCAGACCTGCTGAGAGCTGGGAGAGCAGACTGGCCGCAGGGTGGAGCCAGTCCCGCCCTGGAGACAGTGGCACAGAGGAGCTGCCAGCGAGCCTGGCCTTGAGCTGCCTCCTCCTCCTCTGTGGTAGGTAAGAATGACATCTTTGGGGAGCCCCTGAACCTGTATGCGAGGCCTGGCAAGTCCAACGGGGATGTGCGTGCCCTCACCTACTGCGACCTGCACAAGATCCATCGGGACGACCTTCTCGAGGTGCTGGACATGTACCCTGAGTTCTCCGATCATTTCTGGTCCAGCCTGGAGATCACCTTCAATCTCCGAGACGTGAGTGGCCTGTCTTGTCCTGGAGCCCCGTCTTGTGTTCCCTGCACCCCACACACTGTGATGTGAAGGTGTGGTTCTCTTTCTGACCCCAGCCTCTGTCTGTAGCTGGTGGTGGTGTGGCCAGATGTGGTCATGGAGCCCATGTGACCACTCTTCCACCCCGGGCCACCTCACCTGCCCCATGTGAGTGTGTGACCGGCTCTCAGTGGGGATGGTCACAGCAAGCCTTGAGCCCACTTTTGGTTGCAGACCAATATGATCCCTGGCTCCCCGGGCAGCACAGACCTTGACGGCTTCAGTAGGCAACGTAGGCGCAAACTGTCCTTCCGCCGGCGTGTGGACAAGGGTGAGGCAAGGGGAGGGAGAGTGGCTGGACTCTATAGCTTCTTTACTTGTTATCCGATCCTTGTGAGCTCAGCTCCGTCACTTCCTGTGGCAAGAGCTTCCTGAAGGGGGTTGTAGTAGATGTTGCAGGACCCAGGAGGGTGATGGGTGATGGGTGGTCATGGAGGGTGGAGAGCCATCAGGCCCTGGGACCCTTGTGCCCACAGGAGTGAAGGTTGAAGAGTGTTCCTCCCATCCTGTGTAGCTCAGTCTGTCTGATCTTAGGAAGAGATGACATCAGAAACAGCTAGGGACAGGCGAAGCCCCCTGCACTGTCTGGTCCCTGCCTCACTGCTCTCACTCAGAGGTGCTCTCTGTTCTGTTTGCCACAGACTTAGAAAAGCCAGGGGAAGTGTCGGCCTTGGGGCCAGGCCGGGCGGGAGCAGGGCCCAGTGGCCGGAGCCAGCCAGGTGGACTGTGGGGGGAGAGCCCGTCCAGTGGCCCCTCGAGCCCCGAGAGCAGTGAGGATGAGGGTCCAGGCCACAGCTCCAGCCCCCTCCGCCTGGTGCCCTTCTCCAGCCCCAGGCCCCCTGGAGAGCTGCTGGGCGGGGAGCCCCAGACCGAGGACTGTGAGAAGCGCAGTGACACCTGTAACCCTCTGTCAGGTATGGGCTGGGCCTCACTGGGCAGGAGGCCAGTTTGGGTGGCGGGCTGAGTGGAGCGAATGGGCCTCATCCTGACTCTTCTGGCTCCAGGTGCCTTCTCGGGTGTGTCCAACATTTTCAGCTTCTGGGGGGACAGTCGGGGCCGACAGTACCAGGAATTGCCTCGCTGCCCCACCACCACTCCCAGTCTCCTCAACATCCCCCTTTCTAGCCCAGGCCGCCGGCCTCGGGGTGATGTGGAGAGCCGGCTGGATGCCCTCCAGAGGCAGCTCAACAGGTGAGGCCGAGGCTGGGGCGGTGGCTGTGTGTGCACACGTGCACGTGCATATGCCCCCTATGTGCACAAGGGGCTTTAGGGCTTCACCTGGTCCTGGGGTCTGGGTGTGGGTTGCTGGCAGTAGCTAAGGCCATAGGGAAGTGTGTCTGTGTGACTCCTCGCATCAGTGCTGACCACCTGCTTCTGGACAGTGGCAGCGTGGTTTCTGAGTCACAGGGAATGGTGTTAATGGTGTCTCTTCCTGCCACTCTGCTCCTTCTGCCTTCAGACTAGAGACCCGGCTGAGTTCGGACATGGCCACTGTGCTACAGCTGCTACAGAGGCAGATGACACTGGTTCCGCCCACCTACAGCGCTGTGACCTCCCCAGGCCCCGGCCCCACTGCCACCTCCCCTCTTCTACCTGTCAGCTCCATCCCCATCCTTACCCTGGACTCGCTTTCTCAGGTACGAACAGAACCCGCAGAGCCCTGACCCCCACTTCCCTGACCTGACCCCACCAGAAGCCTGTTGCTGCCTTTCTGCGTGACATCGTGCCCAGCCTCCTGCTTCCGCTGTTGTCACCATCCCATAGTCTCTGCCCCTGAGGAGGGCTGTCTTGGGAACTGGGCATAGAGAGGTGGCCCTGAGTGGCTGTCACAGAAGTCAGAGGGCCTCTCTGCTCGTGTACTGATAGAGGGAACCACATGTGACCTTAGGACCGTGGCTTTCCAGAGTACAGAACATGATGGAGCCTGAACCCTGGGGTGTTATGGGGTGTTCCTGCCGGCATGTCTTTGGGACAAGACTTGGGCTTTGCTGTGGCTCTTCCCACACTGTGGTAACACTAGCCCCCCAGCAGGCTTTTCTGTATGGTCCAGCCTTCCTGAGGCATTGAGGCCAAGCACTTGAGGGGAGGCATCCTAGGCCTTCTTCTCAGCCCTCCTGCTGGATAAAGGGTCTCTGTTACCCTGTGCTCTTCACCTGCTAACAGGATAGCTGTGTTGGGGGCACCTCTGAAGTTCCCTTAGGGCCCTAGGAGGGTCCCTCTGGTTCTTGAACTGTTCCTTCCCTCTCTCCTGCCCTGCCTCCTCTGGCATCTGCTCCCCCTCCCATATGCCGCCTGCTCCTGTTTTCAGACACCAGGGCCCACGTCAGCAAATGTGCCAGTCTCCCCTCACAGCCTCCCCCGCTGAGATGGCACCGGCGTGCTCGCAGTGCACACAGACCCTCTGCCTGCCCTACCGTTCTTCCTGTCCCCCGCAGCCCTCACCTGGCATGTCCCTGCTTCTAGGTCCCTGAGTTCTGTCTACTGGAGGAAGGCGGCTTGTTTCGCTGTCGCAGCTTCTGTCCTAACTCAGAGCCCCCTTTATCCTAAGCTGGATTTGGACTCAGCTATATTCCCTGGGGAAGTGGCTGCAGCCTGTAATGTTCCTGGGCTCGGGACAAGGCTGTGTGCGCCAGCCCCGAATGAATGCTCTCTACTCCTGGGTTCCTGCCCACTGGGAACTCATTCCTCTTTTTTAATCTCGATACCCTTTTGGTAATCCCAGTCTGGCTGCTTCGAAGCTTCTCTGTCCCAGCCTTAAGCTCCCCGCTCTGTCTACTATACCTCTTCCTTCCTGCCTCCATCCCTCTGTGGCTCTTGCTTACTAACACACAGTGTTCTTTGCAGGTTTCCCAGTTCATGGCATGTGAGGAGCTCCCCACAGGGGCTCCAGAGGCCCCCCAAGATGGTCCCACCCGACGCCTCTCTCTGCCAGGCCAGCTGGGGGCCCTCACCTCCCAACCTCTGCACAGACATGGTTCCGACCCAGGCAGTTAGTGGGGCTGCCCAGCGTGGACACGTGACACACCCGGGCTCAGGGCATGGCCTGGGCCTTTCCCCTCTAAAGCCTGCTCAGGCAGCCATGGCTGTGGATAGCACAGCCCCTCCCCAGCCCTCAGGACCAGCTCCTCCTGCAGTCCCCTGGGTCCCAGTGGGAGGGGCAGGGGCAGGGCCAGGCAGCGGACAGGGGGCCTGGGGTCCCACCCTGCCCTGGGGGCATTAGCTGGTCTAACTGCCCAGAGGCACCTGGCCTGGGCCTTAGGCACCTCAAAGACTTTTCTGCTATTTACTGCTCTTATTAATAAGGATCATATGAATAATTAATGAAGATGCTGATGACTATGAATAATAAATAATTATCCTGAGGAGACTCCGTGGTCTTGGGAAGGTACAATCCTCAGCTCCTCTGTGTGTGTGTGTGCACACGTGTGTAAGCACATTGTCCCATCTGAATGGGAACCCATAAAAATGACACAAGCTACCTCGTTGCCTCCAGCCTGTGTCTGGCCAGGTTTGGGGAGCAGCCATACATTTGATTGTTCTAAGTGCCAAGTACCTCCATGGTGTTAGAGTTCACATTATGAGCTTATCTGCTTGGCTCAAAGTTGTGTCAAGAGTAGATTCATTTCTAGGCCTGAATATGGCTAAGGACGATGGTGTCAGGGACTCTCCCAGTCTCTGACAGACAAGTAAACCTGGCCATTTTTATGGTTTTGAGTTGTATTCCCTATTTCTACCACTCTAGGACCCTCAAGCTGGATCTCCATTAATGGCAAGTGCCAGCCATCTACTTGTCCCTTCACCCAGTACAGAGCCCCAGCCCACTCTGGTCTTGACCAGGTGGAGCGGAAGTTCTGACCCACACCACCTCTTCCTGGCTTGGCCTGATTTTGACCATAGCCCACATCCTCTCTGACCCTGGAGTACTGAATCTCCACTCAGGCCCACTTGTGGACACTCTGTTTTCCCTGCTATGACCAGAGAGCTCAGCAGATGCCTGACTGCAAATGCAACTCAGAGTGCAGACTTCACCTTAATCACCAGAAGATCTGGACTGAAAGAGTGTAGATGTTTCCCATCATTACAGAAACAAGTCTATATAGATGTTCTGGGAGCAGTGGCATATGTATGTGCATTGGGGGGTGTGTGTGTGTGGCCCATGTATGGTTTGTGTGTTATAGTGTGTTTGTATATGATCTATGTTGTATGATGTTTGCATGTTTATGTTGTGGTGTATGGTAGGTACTTGACGTGTGTGGTATGGTAAGGTGTGTAGTATGTGGTGTGAAGTGTTCATGTGGTATGTGTGTGTTACAGTGTATGTAATCTGTAGTGTGTATGTATGATGTGTGTCATATGAGTTTGCCGTGTATGTTGTGTATGTGGTTTGTGTATGACGTATGTGGTATGATGTAATGTGTGCATATATGTGGTCTGACATGTAGTGTGTGTATGTGATGTGTGTCCTGTGGCATTTGTATGTGTTTAGTCTAGGGGCCCGGGAGATTTATTTTAGAAGGATTAGCACAAAGCTGTTTCCTATGGAGTGGAGGTTAAAGGTGTCCCAAATGTTCTTTTCCCAACTGCTCCTACTCCATCACCTCTATCGTCAATCTTTCTCTTCTCCTCAGCCTTCTCTCTCCCATCTCTGTCAGCAGGTCCCACAGTTTACTGCAGTGTCTCTCAGACGCTCAGTCAGGGGAATGTTCATGTGGTTGTGCAGCCTGGCAGGTCTCAAATCTGTGCCTCAAGCTTTAGGCTGGAGAACTTGATGGACCCCCATGGATGCAGGGCCTGAAGAATAACAGGTGGCCTGGCTTGCAACAGGCAGTGGTCTGTGTGTGGGGTGATGAGATCAGATCAAGTGCAGAATCCAGAGCAAAAAAGGATCAAAATTTTCCGGAGCGTTAGTTATGTATATTGGCTACAGACCACACCCCCAGGAGAACTAAGGATGGCAAGTTGGACCATACGCTTTAGTAAGGTGGGAAATCACATAAATCCTACCTCATTAACACAGTGGATGACACATTTCAGAATGCGGTCATTAGCACATAGAGACTAGGACTTACAATACACTGCAAAGTGGCTGGTGTTTCCTGGAACCCTGGTGGTGTAGACCGTAGGGAGTTGTACAGCTCACCCAAAGGTGGTGCCTTTCTGGAGATTCAAATCCACCACCATCACCTTGAGACAAAGATGGACAAATCCCTGCATGAGATCTACAGCCTCCAGAAGTCCCCTGGAGGATCAGCTGTGAGTTGGTTCTGACACCATAGCAGTGAGTTAAGTTGAATTATGGCTGGAGGGGCAAGTGAAGTAATTCAGGCCCCACACTTGGCTCAGGGAGCTGTTCTAGGATATGTTTGGAGAAGCCCCGCCTTCTGTTGGGGGGTCCCTCTGTATGGCCACGGCACCTTCTCCACACTGCAGGACCCTGCACTGACTTGCAGCATGTCTGCCTCCCATGCTAGACTGGCCATTGCGGGAGAGGCTGTGTCTTCTGCCTTTGTCCATCAAGGACAGCAGTTCCCACAGAGCAAGTTCTGAGAAATTAATGAGACCAGCTTTTCTGCTTTGCATTTTGTGTTTTTTTCTTTTATTTTAAAATTTATTATTAATTTCAATGAAAATTTACAGAGACTTTGGATTTCCATTCATTCATTGTTGCACTTTTCCACCCTCCCAACCCTCCCCTCTAGTACACTACCTTCTTAGAAAAGTAAAAGAAACATTCTTTCATTGTTTTACAAACCCTCCCTCAGGTCCACTCCACTATGCAGCCTTTGTTCAAGACATCTGTCATGACAAAAATACCTAATCACATATCCCTTTTAAACAGTTTTCTCCCTATCTGTTTCAATGCAGTATACATTATTGAATCCATCTTTCTCAGTCTTCCCCCAACCCTGATGTCAGTCCTGTTTTACAACAATAAGACTATGTAGTATTTGTTCTTTTGTGACTGAGATACTTCACTCAGCATAATGTCCTCCAGGGTCACCCATTTTGCATACTATTTCATGAGTTCCTTGTTTTTCAGTGCAGCATAGTATTCCATTGTGTGAATACACCACAGCTTCTCTATCCATTCATTTGTTGATGGGCGCTTAGGTTGTTTCCAGCTCCTTGCTATTGTGAACAAAGCTGCACTAAACATGGCTGTGCATATATCTGCTTGGATGTCAGTTATGGTCTCTTTGGGGTATGTTCCCAGTAGTGGAATTGCTGGGTCAAATGGTATCTCTTTTTGCAATTTTTTGAGAAAGCGCCATACCGTCTTCCACAGTGGTTGCAGCCTGCTTTACACTTTGTAACAAAAGACCGTGAACAAGACTGGGAGAAAATTTTGGGGAACCATATTCCTGATTAGGGTTTAATATTCAGAATAGTAATTTGGAACACCTCCAACTTAACAACAAGGGCAATCAAAATTATGGGCAAAGGATGAAACCTATTTCACGACCAGTAATCAACAAGCACGTGAAGGGATGCTTAATGTCATTAGTCATTAGGGAATTTGCGAATCAAACCCACCCTGAGGTCTCACTTGGTCCCCTCTGAAATGTCTAGAAAAAAGGCAAAACAGCAGATGTTAGCAAGAATGTGGAGACATTGGAACTGCCCTGCATTATTGGTAGAAGTGCATAATGGTATGGCTGTTAATTGTGAACAGTTTCCTAGTTCCTCAAAAAGTTAAACATAAAATGACCAAATGATTCAGCGATTTTCCAGGATTTACTGAAAACACTTGGAAGCAGGCAGGTATGCAAACAGATGCTTGTTCATTGAGGAATTATTCACAACAGCTTACAAATAGAAACAACTTATATATCCGTCCGCAGATGAGTGGCTAAATAAGATGTGGCACATGCATACAATGCAAATTTATTGAGCCACAAATAAGGTTCTGATACTATGTATCGTATTTCCCTAAATATAGGTGATAGTAAGGGAAGGTTGCTCCTTCAGATAATGAGAAATAATGATTAGGAAATCCAGGGGGTCGGCTGCGGTGTTAGTGTGAAAGTTGGCTTTTATAGCCATTAATTTAGCCCCCTCTGGTCTCCAGCTGTCTTAACTTCAGACACATGGTCTGGCAGATCATTTGCAACTGTGAGAATAGGAAGAGAGCGAGAGAGAGAGAGAGAAAGAGATCTACACTGGGCAGCAAAACTTGAGGGAGACCTTGGTGAAAGCAAGACCCTGGTGAGAGTGAGACCCTGGTGGCAGGGCCCTGGTGATGTGGCATTGCTGTGGAGAAACGGTGGAAGGTATGAGAACACCAACACAGGAGTGGCAGCATGACTGTGCTTAAGCATCCAGCCTGACCCATTGCTCACCAGTGTCTACAAAAACCCCCAACCTGCATACCTGCAGACAGGTGAGTAATTTCCCTGATGGGTCTGAGTCTTTCTAGGATGTTATAGCAAATATTTGCACCATACCCAGAAGACCATAGGGGAAGTGAGGAATGAGCCACGGATGGAACTGTTAATATCAGACATTAAGGATTCATGTAACTGGATGACCCGAGGTTTCTGATTAATAGTGTTATTAGTATGATACATAGAATCAGAACTATAACATCTGTGAACTTGGAAATAGCATCTGAGTGAAATAAGACACAAGAGGACAAATACAGTATGGCCCTGATTATATGAAATCTCTCATTGCTGTCTAGGTGGAACTAACTGACAGCTGACTCTTCAGTAGGTTTCCTGAGGTGGTGAATCACACCGGAAGTTACCTATCTTTCTCCTCTCAGAACTGCTGGTGGATCTGAATCACCAGACAAGTGCCAACTGGAGGTTAGCACCACAACTCCTTATAGACTAGGCTGCCAGGGCTCCCTGCATGAAATAATCTAGACAGAGAAACAGAGGTCAACATTAGGTGCCGAGGAGCAAGAGAGTAAGGCATGACTACCTTAGAGTTACTGAGATTCTCTTTTGGGGTACTGTTGATAAAGCTTTGAAAATAGTAACTAGTGATAGGTCTGAAACATTGTAAATGAGTTTTCCTAAAAAGTTTAAAATGGACATTTGTTTGTTATGTACACACTTGCACAGTGAAAAGAAAAAGTCCAAGCAGACACGGATATAGTAGTTGAGCTGGGGGGCTGCAATGTTAGTTGCTGAGGATATGTTGGAAAGAGCAAACAGTAACATCAAGGACAGCACATGGACAAATTGTAAGTCAACCATGACTTCTGGTATATTTTAGGGAGAATGCAAAGGCCAAGCCAGCCTGTAGGTTAAAGAGGAAAATAAAAAAAGGAGTGAGAAGTGGAGGGTCGATTTGGCCCTGATGGCTTTAGTGGTAAGAAGTTGTCCTGTCAATCCAAAGGTATGAGGTTCAAATACACTAGCTG